TTTATGACACGTTTATCTCTGTCTTTGTGGCACGTTTTTTCCGCCTTTTGGTAGCTTACGGTTTTTTGCCATTGTTTTCGTTTATTTTTTTTTCATGGTTGGATTTGACATCGCTGCGATTGATCAAGATGACGCTTATTTATTACCATGATGATCTTCCCTGCTTGGTACCCTCGAATTGATTTGGATATACATTTTGCGTTCGTAGGCAGTTTTTTCACGTCGTTTGACTTTGATTTGCGATTTGTCGGTGGGGTTTAGTAGCTTCATCTCCTTTTGTGATTCGTTTGATGATGCAGTCAGATTTGTTCATATCTTTATTTTGTTTGAGCTTTTTTGTTATGTTTTTAAACTTTTCCTTATTTGGTCCATGTGTGATCTAGGTGGCTAGTTTTTGTGTCAATGGTTATAAAAAAATAACCTAATTATAATTGTTGCGTTATACTTGTAAATCTTTATTGTAATTCTAGATATTTTCTATTTTTATAAAACTAACGACTTTCTGTAAAAAAAAATAGATTTCTTTCTATTGAAGTGCCTAATTTTTTTTATCAATGTAGTCGCCTAATATTATTAATATTATCATTTTAAGTGTTTCAACGGTTATGATCGTAAAAAAAATTTAAAAAGTAGTTTATATTCTAAAAACATTTAAAAAAAATTCTCTCTTCCTCCCATATACCGAAAGCAAATTCACTCCCCCGTTCGTTCTCCCACCCATTCTCTCTCCCTCTGCTTGTTCCCCTCCCATTCTCTCACAGTATGAACGACGACTAGCATTTACAGAAAACGACAGTCCCAAAGAAATTTACTAGGATTTGTGTAAAACGATTTGGTCTCGCACTGATAAAAGGGTAAGTGATCGTTAATGAATTTCGTCCACGGTGGATGAGTGTTCATTGAGGGATTTTTGAGAAGAATACAACTTTTTAAACATGACACTTATCATTTAACATATTCTTTTAACTACTGTTATGGACGGAATACTTAAAATAAAAATTTTTGTAATGTAACTTTTTCTTTGTACATGCATAACACTTGATAGTCTAATAGGATAAACAAATAATTTTATACTAAAAACAAACTTTAAAATTTTAAGTAACAAAATTATAAAATTTTAGAAATAATGAAAATAATTTTTCAATAACAATACAAAAAATATATAAAAATTTAAAATTATTAAAAAACGACAATTCTTTTTTTTGAATTAATCACCGGTATCCGATATATTGACCGACTAATTCAGATCGGGTACTAACCCTCCCAACCTAGTTTGCTCCATTCACAAACGTCAAGATTCAAACCCCTAACATTGCTTAACAGTCCTAGTGCCTCATCCCACTAGACCAACTGATTGTTAATAAAAAAAAAGACAATTATTACTTGTCTCTTCTTGATCAATCCCTAATCAATAGTAAATCATGACTCCAACTCCAACATAACTGTATCATGAGGCTCTTGAAGTGAATAAGTTCTTCATCGATCATCGACTCACATCTCCTCGGGGAATCATACGTAGGGATAAACCGAGGGATACAATTATACCAAATAATTTTCAAATTTCATTATATTTTAGATATTTTTTTATTGATCATCTTATTTTGTACACTATATTCCTTAAAATTTTTAATATATGATAAAAAAAATTTAACATAAATTTTAGCGGTTCCAACTCCCACATATATATTCCAACACAACAGTAAAATGTATAACATACTTTAATCTATGGCTAAATCTGAATTACTTCAGAATAAATTGTTCTATAAGAAACTTATACAGTCCGCAATAAGATTTATAATATTATTTAATAAATAAAAATCATTTAGAGGTATGTATTTATAATATTACTTTTAAAGATATTTGAAAATAAATAGTGATAGGGAACGTAAAGGACAAAAAGTAATATAAGAAAGTTATAATCAGAAAATCAAATTAAGTAAAACATAAAATTAACTAGATTATAGAAATTAAAAAAAGTATCATGTAAAATTAGATTAGAAGTGACTAAATAAATTAGTTACGACAAATTAATTAAATACGTAAAAAATTACAAATGAAATTGTAAAATCAATCCAATTACTTTAAGACATTTCAAATTTTCGGTTATTCCATAATTTTAATAATTTAGAGTTTAAAATTTTAAAACTGAATCCAAATCAATTCAAACAATTTTAAAACCTTTACCTTACAAGCTATGAAGATCACTTATATATGCAACTTAATGGAACCCAGGGATCTAAATTATGATTGCGTTGTGCTTGTGACTGTGCATGCAGTTATTGCGGGCATCACAATTGTGTAATAACGGTTAAGACCGCTGTTTAAATCCCTAGACACCCCAGGACAAAAGCTAGTTGAATGAGATACCAAGCCAGCTCGCTACTCGGTTCAGGAGGCTCGAGGTCAGTGTAGCCAGCAATCGGGTAACCTTGGGCAGTGCCGGATAACTGAGTGTCCCGACTACGAACCAATTGAAACTCAAGAGAGCAACTGCATCAGATGCAGGTTTGTTCTTTATGGTGAAGAAAAACTGAACAACACTCTTAAGTGACATGCCCACAACAGTGAAGAGAGCCGCCACAAGAGGCATGCAATGATCTTCGGCTTCCCACACAATCATTCCAACCAAAAGTGACAGAATTGCACTGAACAGAGTTTGCGAAAGCGCGATGTCTCTTCGTTCTTCGATAACGGTGTTGACATCTGCATTTTGGAAATCGGGTGTAAATAGTTCCACGGATCCACTCGGTGCAGGGGCAGCTTTTAATGAATTGAACGTTTCGATATTACTCCTACTCTTACCTTCCCATGCTTCTCTGTTCATCATCAGCTCTTGTAAGGAGATCCCACTACTTCCCTTATAACTGGGAATCAATGAGGCAACACTGTAGGGAATGACATGATTATCAACTGTATTCAGGCTTTTGTTTTTAGTCGTCGCATCGTGATCTCTATAACTCCATGCTGCTTTACCTTGAACTTCTTTCAGCCGAAGGTTTTCGTCCTTTAAATCCTGCAACTGGTAGGGCGCACAATGTTTTCAGTGCATGCAATGCAGAAAGTTCTACAGAGTACGGACTTCCTGACCACACGTTAGTAAGCTATCGATGGTTCATACCCCAGTATGATACATTCAGTAGTACCAGTCAAACTTGCAGATAGTTTAAGATATTTACCTCTCCCTCTAATAGTTCAATCCTGGCAACAGCCTTGTCATGTTCCCCTTCGAGTTCAATTAACACCAACTCCGTAATTCTGGTTTCTCTAACAGCTGCTTGGAGATGTTCCTCAAGCTCCTTCCTGTCCCAAACAAGAGTCTCCAACTCAAACTGCATCTCTTGCAGATGTTGTTCCAGCTGCAAACAAGACCATGATTCTTATATCAATTATAAACAAGGCGGCAGACAAGACTTCAAAGCAAGTCAAGGAACTAGTTTATAATGACTAAAGAATATCATACAAATCAAGAAGTCGGCGGCTTTAATATCGTTCATTTGCAGGCATGAATTAGGAAAACAACAGTGTGCTTCTCAGCTAAGGTATATTGAAACTAACCAGCTTCTCCCTCTGCAGGGCAGTCAACATCCTGTAAGGAAGCGATACAATAGCAACTGTCCAAAGTAGTGATTTGCGGAACATATTCACTGGGAAGGAAATTGTTGCCTTTACCATCTGCAACCAGAAATAAAGACTGTTTCCTCTCGAAATGTACCGATTCGCAAAGAGAAAATCGCATGCATGGTTACCGCGTTGTTATGTTACCTTGGGAAACATCATTATCACACCAGCCATTATTAATCAAGGGAGTTTCTTCTTAATAATCACACTCCGCATACTGCATAACCATAATTAAAGATTTAGCTTACAATACACTGCACAACATGAATCCCATAATCATTTTCTAACGACACCATTAGTTAAAACAAATTGCAACAAAGAAATAGATTCAGAAAATGAAGTGAACGATCATGTATTAATTACTCGGCATATGATGCATAGAAACTACCAAGAGACCAAAAGCCTATGGGTCATACATGCATTAATTACTATAAAGCAGCAATCCTTGCCTGCTTTCCTTTCTTACAAGCTTCAATGGATGAATTGCAGATAATTCCATTTTCTAGATAAACAAAATCTCATCCATTCTAACAGATGCATATAAAATATGGCTCCGGAATCATTATTCTGCCACAATTTTCTCATCAAAAATTGCATTCAGAACTGTTTTCCATGGCGACAACACATTTAGAACTAAAAAGATTGCAGAACGCGAAATGCAGAAAACAGAAAACAAAGGAAACAATCAGTTCATCGATTAATTACGAAAACGAAAAGGATCTTGACGGTAAATGATATCATTACGATGTGAAAATCATATTACAAAAACACAACTTGATCGGAAAATTGATCTCAATGAACACGAAAGTAGGGATGAAGAAAACAAGCGGAGGCGGCGCATTAATTAAACCCTCGATTATTACACTAAAATGAACTACGGAAGAAGTGGTTACAGTTACAGTAGAGAGAAAGCAGTAGAAGAATTCAAATTTAGTTTCATTCAGCACTTACAAAGTGAGTGTGGTTGAGTGAGGGGAAGGCTGTTATGAAGGGGGAGAAAGGTGGCACCTAGAGCGCGCCCTGACTGACACGTATGCAAGTTTACATGCAATTTATATTTATTTTATTTATGGAAAAGCTTATCTTATATGGTGATTTATTAGAACTGTGAATATCCTATTCCTAGTTTCAGTGATACCGTCCATCGCCATTGTTTTTGACTTCTTTTTTGTTTCAGTGCCCTTCGCCTTTATTTGCTTATAAATTTGAATTTGATACCATTCACGTATCTTGCACATTTGTTCGAGTTTAGAGTTTCCAGAGAGAAGAACGATTCCTTTTATCCTTAAGATAGTTTAACGGATTAGAATTTAAATTATCTTAAGCCTAAACATAATAATAATTATTACATGAACATGAACATATAGAGAAACAAAAAAACATCATTTGGCCTTGGAACTACAACGTGAAGGAATGTAGGTGCCATTCAAAGGATGAAAATGCAGCTGGCAATCGAGGCGACACAAGAACCTAACTGAGCCCAGATGGCCTATTCTCCATCTCACCCTGGTGCCCCCTTTCAAGTCGAATATAATCCGGTCATTCTTCAAACCCGCGTCGACGTATTCCGCTTGTTCCGGTCCCAAAGGTATCGGTGACGATGGCACTACATAATTAAAATCGACCGAACTGTTCTTGCCTACTTCAAAGGGTGGTGCTACCAGCCGCGCCACCGCTTCCCCTTTCAAACCTAGGCCGTAACTCGAATCTGAGAAGCTCGCGTGCGCCTTCTTGTTCCCGTTCTTGGCTCGGATCAATATCGTTACTTGAATCTCAAGAATACCGGCGTAATCGAGCTGCATACGGTCTAGGTGACCGTCTATGACGCTAACGTAAGGCACCCTGGGATGTATGACCAAGTACCCTATGAATGTGACAATGCCCGCGATGATAACGGCTATGGTCAAGACGGTGCAGATGATGGCGGCACACCACACCAACGGGTTTGTCGCTCGTTCCCGACTCGTCGAGAACTTCGATTTCGGGTTCATCGGGTTGGGAGAGGCTCATGAATCGACGTCAACAACATTCGGGTGATTTTTTTTTTTTACTTTAGGTTTTTGGACAAGGCTTTATGTAGTGCAATAGGGAGGTGATGCTCTGTTTCAAGCTTGACGAGATTGATAAGGTACAAATTAGCTCCAATTGGCGGGGAAGTATCTTCTTTTCCTACATTTAAAGCATTTTCCATACACAAAATAAATTCCATTAGTGTAAACCACTCTATTAAGGAATCTAAGGACACTTTTATCTGTGCAAGCCGAAAACACAGCTTTTGCTCACAGTGCCATTTGTATTTGATAAGGCAACCATACTATCTTGATTCTCATCACTATTATAAAATAATCTTTAAAGGCTGTAGGTTGATGACAGAAAAAAAAGTTGGTTTGCCGTCTGACAGTAGCACCGACTTAAAATTTTAGGGTGAAAGTGAATTTATAAAATTTTAAAGAGGATTAATTATAAAATTTAGAGGATGAAAATAAACTTTAAATAAAAAATAGGAATGTCAACGGGTCAGGTTAAGGTCGGGTTTTTGGTCAATTTGACCCGACTCAATCCAAAAATTTTATATCATACATCTAATCCGACCTGACCCGAAAAATATATATCCTCCACCCGACTCTGATCTGACTAAATCTTTTAGAGTATAAATCTGTCCCGACCTGATATAAATTAATGATTTTAATTAAATAATAATATTTTTAAAGAAAATTATATTATTATCATCGGATCAAGTCAGGTAAAAGTTTTTTTATCATTCACCCGAATTCGATCTGACGCGATGCTAGTTTTTTTAAAAACATAAGATGCGAGTTAAGTTATCATCCTTAATAAAAAAATATAAAAAAAATAAAATTTTAAGAGAACAATTGCTCCATCGGTTCATCCCTGAATATACAATGGGGTTTATGATTATTTTTTTTCGTTGCCTTGGGGGTTTGTCGGTGAGTTGTTGACCATAGATTTAGGTAGTGGAGCTGTAAAGTAATTTTGGGTTTTAAGTTTAAAAATCCAAAAAGAAATATTTTACGGGCCAACTATTTCTCCGACCCAATTGATCTTGAGTTGTTCAAGTTTGATGGATAGATAACTAGGGGTATTCAAAATCGGGTACTTGCATTTTCAGATACCCAAAGTATCGGCTACCCAATTTTCTGGGTAGTATATTTATCGGTTTGTGACCTGGTCTATTAAGTCTGGATACCGATAGTCAGATACCCGTAAAATTCAAGTACCCGTATTTTCTGGTCACGGGTACCCGTTTCATATGTTTCTTTATATTTTTAAATTTATTTTTTTTAAATCACATAATAAATATATAAATTTTAAAAGTTCATAATATACAATCCACATATAAAAATTAATGATTTGAAATTAATTTTAAAGATAAATAACATTTGGATATATATACATATATATTAAATTTTATTTTCAAAATAACATAAATATATCAATATCGATCGTGTTTTTTTTCAAATCTCATATTGATAAATTAATAAAAACTTATTTAAAAAATTAAAAATTAAAAATTACATCATACAAATCTAAGAAAAATTTATAGATATAGATTTAATTTTAAGGTAAAAATATTAAGAACCTAAAATAAAAAATATAATTTAAACTATATATATATATATATATTAAAACTAACGGGTCGCGTTGGGTACCCGGTTATAAAATATTTCATCCCAGACCCAACCCTACTACCCGAAAAAAAGTACAGGTTGGGTACTCGACCCGGTTGAGTAATTTTTTTTAAAGAATTACCCAATTTTTTTAGGTTCGGGTTGACGAGTCAACGAGCCATGTCAACAGAGTCGTGTATTTTTGAACACCCTATCAATAACGGTTCAATATAGAAACATTTCAATAAGGTTGTTCAAATTATGGTGTTTATCGAGCGAGTTAATCATAAGTTGACTAGTGTTTAATTCGATTATTGATTCGTTGTTTGTTGAGTTGGATAAAATTTTATTCGGTTTGTGTCTGTTAAAAGTTTTCGTTGCACGTTAAGTTCGTTAAAATATTTTTCTTTTGTTTAAATATATATAATTTAATAATATTATATATAGTTTAACATAAACATAAATTAAAAAAATTAAAAAAATCGAAATAGTGTTGAAACAATTCCAAAATCTAAATTTCAAAGGAATATTCCACAAATATATCAAACTAACATATTACAAAAAAGTATTAATTTATAAATACACACAAAAAGTCTAACAATATATAATCAATCTTATAATCAAGACAAACAACGTCTTAAAAAAATTAATTACTCATAAATTTATCAACTTGAATCGAGCTCAAATTTGAGTTTAATTAATTCGAGGTTAATCGAGTTTTGATGAGGTGAAACATTAATTTTAAAATTATATTAAGTTGTTCACGTGCAAAAGAGTAAAAACTTAACGCTCGACTCCTTTAAAACTCATAGCTTTTTATGGAGGTCTTGTAGCAGCAATTTTTTCTTGGTAAAATAGTACCTAAGGCTCTGTACTTTTCCAAGAAACTATTGTGGCCTTCGAATTTTTTCTACATTCAATGTGACCCTCGAACTTAAAAAAAGAATTTAATTTGGTCTTTTGACCAATGGTTTTCATCATTGACCGTTATTATGCTGACGTGATATTTTATGGTATTGACGTGACTATTCATGTTGCTAACGTAATAGTTCACAATTAATGGTTGATGACGTAGCAAATAGGCTAAATTGTTCTTTTTTCAAGTTTGGGACCCACATTGATTTTTTTAAGTTCAATGACTTTTTAAAAATAAAAATATTTCAGATTTAAAATATAAAAATATTGAGTTAAATATAAAAATACCATTAAATATTAGTATCATTGATTAAATAAAAAATATTAAAATATAAATATTAAAATTAATAAATATTTACTATAAAATAAAGAAAAAATAAATGTGAGTAAAAAGTAAAAACATATCAAATACACGAGAATAAAGAATACATAATTTAAAAATAAGAGTCAAATTTCCATACAAATAATTCTCATCAAATTAATTATATTGCATTACAAATAATTATCATCAAATTAAATTCATATTATTTTAATCACAAATTTATTAATTCATAAATATCCTTTTTAATATCATAACAGACTAATACCAAAATTTTCTTTAGATATATCAAAATACAACTAACTCTGAAATATATACTCTATACCATACTTCCTAATTTTATTGTGTTCCAATATAATGACACTACTACCAACAGTAGTGATGAAAACAAAATGCTTAAATGAAAGAATCAAAATTAAGAGGGTCTGGAAATAAAATTCAAAGGACTAAAGGACTTAACATATATTTGTAGTATTTTAAATTTAAACTATTTCTATTTTAAAAAACCCTTGAACTTAAAAAAAATCAATTTGACCCTTGAACTTGAAAAAAATAATTTCGCTCATTTGTTACATCATCAGCCACGTCACCAGTCATCATAGACCTTTAGATTAATATTATGAAATGTCACGTCAGTATCGTAACAATCAATGACCGAAACAGTTGATCAAAGGGTCATATTAGATTTTTTTCTAAGTTCGAGGGCCACATTAAATGTAAAAAAATTCGAGTGCCACATTACTTTTTAAAAAAGTTCATGGGCTCAGGTACTTTTTTAATATTTTTAATTGTTTTTTTCCTATAGGTTTTGAGTGTGTTCTTGTAGCAGCACCTTTTTCTTATTTGTATTTTCCTAAAAAAATTCTTTTGCTAAAGAAAAAGGGTGAAGTTAATATTATGATTTGTTATCTTCAATTGTTTTGGTAAATTACAGTATATAGTAATAAATATTTTTTTTGGTTATTATTTGATATATAGGTAAATCTGGAGTCAATATTAAATTATAAGAGGTAAGTTGTTCATTTTTTAAATAAACATGATCCTAAATAATAATTAAACTATAAAACTAAGAGATTGAATTTTAATTTCACTAATTTCAAAATATAAAAGTTCTTAAAATAATTAAACCATAAAATTTTAGGATCAAAGGCTTAATTCCATTAATATTGAAGCTGGTAATATTCTAAAAAACAATTATACCAACAAGTTCTGGAACAACATAGGCTTAATTGCAATAATTTCAAAACTATCAAGGGCCTAAAATGTAATTAAGCCATCAGAGTTGTGAGGTGACACTTTTTTTTTGAAATATTGTGAGGTGACACTTACCCCTTCCATCTGTAACATGTGTCCCTGTATACATGTCATGTGAAAAAAAAATAACGCGAGTAAAGTAAACAAATGATTCTTAATTATCGAATCATTCGATTATTTATGTTTTCAAATTTCATTACTTTTTTAACTTATTCTAAAGACAATGGTTAAAACGATGATCGTTTTCACTGGAGGTTCTGAGTTCGAGTATGATACTTTTTGTTTTTAGAGGTGTTTGAACGTTTATTATTAGATAATTAAAAATCTCTAAAGAAAATATTATCTTATAATTACTTTGTATCGATAAAAAGAAATAAATTAAGAGAGGGTTATAGCTCTTTGTCACTTTGTTGAAACAAAGGAATCAGATTTGTGTTGTAAAGCTGGCGTTGAGGAAATTTATATGCAAACTTTTTCATTTATAGCTACAAGAATATTAAGCATTGGCCAATGGCTTAGAGAATACAGATCCTAGTCCTACAGGACTTGTAAAAATTAATTAATAATTGGTGTTAGGCATAGCATATAATGACAAATCTTGTACTTTATGACCAGCTGTAGATATAATAATAATGGTTTGCCGCAATTCCATATCGTTTTTAAGGTTAGGGTTTCCTTAAACAAAAAAGAAAAGAGTTTACAGTAGCATCACTTACTCATTTTATATTTATTCCACTACCTTTGATAAAAGTGCTCTGCCAAGCCCCCTTAATAATTTATCATTCGTTTGGACAAATCAATTAAAGGGAGATACATTACAGATTTTAGCAACATACAATATATATATATATATATGAATCACGTAAAATTTTAT